GAAGCATCTCGGCTCTAACGAAATTCTGAACCGGTGGCATATTAGGACCACTCTGAGTGTTCTTAAGAGATCTCTCACACACCTGTAGTTTAATAAACCATGTGAAAAATGGGTTGCTCAAGAAGAAGAGAATAGACACGAAAAGATCGCTCACTCACCACAAGGCTGCCATCTTCTAGAACAGAGGTATAACGCAACAGCCAGAAATCTCGTGGTGGAGCCAATGTAGTTGGTGCATAGAGCTGTGTATTCATTCGAGAAAATGATAATAATAATGGTAAATGTTTTCAAATAGTGGAAAAGTTATCGTTTGAGGTGTTACTAACCTGCATATAAAGAAGCTCGATGGTTCCACCATTTGTGGTTGGCAGCACATTTAAAACGTCCACAGCTCGGCACTCGCGGAACCATGAGGACCGATCCTTGACGATTTCTGCAACCTAAGGAAAAAAAAAAAGAGAGAAAACATAATAACATATCATCTTGGTAAATATGAATACACAGCCAAAAGAACTCATCGAATCAGATGAGAAAGAGAATTTTCTTTTCAAGACATACCCTCGTAGGCTCAAGGCCGACCAGGCCGCAAGCACGTGCTGCTACCCCGGTGCAACCATGAGAAATAGCAATGATTCCAATGGAATCCGGACCAGGCTGTTACCCAAAATACAAGAAACCAATTCAGGCAATAAATAAAACCTGTCTTGTATACTGTATAGCACGTAGTTAACAGAAAGAAACTTAGAAGAAGTATGAAAAAACCATTGGCTTCTTGAAATGGACCACACAAATCCTACAGGAATGTAAATGCATATAGTAGGAGAAGACGGTTTTTTTCCAGGAAAAAAAGTACAAAATTAGAACAAATATACGCATAAAATACCATGTAAATGTCAAGGGTATACCTTCATTCCAGGCATCTGGACCCACTCAACAGCAGTTCCAGTCGCCTTCGAAAGAAACTCTGCTAAAGTTTCTTCTGCAATGGACAAAAGCCTGAAAGCATAATTTCATCATTTGAACTCAGAACAGTACCACTCACATCTATCTCTTTCCCATGGACAGATAAGCGTTGGAAAACAAAGTGGACACTAAGTTATAATGACTTGGAAAATGACTCAATAACCATTTTCCCACTAAAGTACCAACCCTGCAGGACTAGCATCTCTTGGAGGATTCTGTGATGCCAATTGTTGTTGACCACTCGTCACCGCCGATTCACAGCTTGGGTCTTTAGCTGGAAGTGATGTCTGAAATATGGAATAAAATTGAAAACATAACAAAAGTCTTCTTCTCTAAGCTAGAAACATGAAGATATTCTACTCAAGCTGATCATGTAAGCAATTATAATTCTTACATTCTGGGTATGTTGACGGAAGTAACTGTTCTCGTAGACCAGTTGTGATACTTGCTTCTGCAACCTATCGTTCTCCTCCATCAAGAGCTTATTCATGGCGGTCATCTTCCGATTCACAGATTGAAGCCGAGAGGCCTCCTTCCTCTGCTTCTCTCTGCATCTGAAGTATTAAAAGATACATGTACAAAAGCAGCATTAGTAACATAAAACACACTTGTAGGACAGAAAATAGCATTTTAACATTATCCAAAGAAAACATAAAGCCATTGAAAGATTTCTACCGGGCAAAGCCCAAACGTTCTTGTAGTCATTGGAAAGTCAGCTATGGGCGATTGGAATAGCAATTAAATAGATGACAGAATGATAATAAAGTGAGGAGTCAGGACTAAACAGCAAACAGGAAGAAATACCTTCCATTTGAAACTGCATCTAAAACACAAGGAACAAGAAAGATGGAGCACTCGAGAAAAAGTTTATCTCCTCCTTTCTAAAGTCAAAGTAGATAAAAATATATTACCTTCGATTCTGGAACCAAACTTTGATCTGTTTTGGCTCGATGTTAGAGAGAATAGGACATTCCCTAATCAACTGCTGACGGCGAATTGAACTCGGTTTGGGACAGTCATGATACAGCCTCTCAAGTGCTTCAACCTGCTCAGGTGTGTACCTTACATATTTCCCGTTGTCCAAACTCCCGGCTTTACCATCCTTGTAGGACATTTCCATTACTCGGAGTGCTTCTTATCAACTCAGTCACAGAATTCACCAAAACGCTAACACCCCTCTAGCGCCCAGAAACCAAATTGTATCCTTTACAACAGAATCAATTCTTTCACCTCAAAGGAACAAACTTTATGCAGTTTATGAAGCTACAACACATACAAATTATGGACAAAGAGCCTATTCTCCTTCCCCCAAACTCGAGAACTATAGTTACGCAAACACAATTCTAATCAAACACCTGAGTAGAAAACATACACCAAAAGGTCCTCAATGCCCGCCCATTGCAGACTTATCTCTCTACCACTTCCAAAGCTAAATCGCACAAAAGGGTTGAGAGTTGCATTACCGCATATGTCAGAGATGTGGGTTTCAGACAATGACAAGTACTCCTGCCAACTCAACACTTCACAACATGAGAAGATTTCATATAACCTCTTCAGGGGACAAGTTATCCTTCTTTTGTCGACTTTAAGGCAAGAGCCCCAAAATACAAGAACCCCCTGCAAAAATTTTCCCCAAAAGATTACAACTTTCGCACTCTGCAACACCAAAAAAGATCCGACCGTTCACGAAAAAGGGAAGAAACAACGCAACACGACACCAAAAACAAGGAAATGATAGAAACCTTTCCTCGCGATGGTACACAACCAAGCCACCGAGTCGACTCAGACTAACACCCACCAAAGATTTCTCAGTCTAACACCCAACTTATTTCACCACTTCCATATTTTCTTTCCATCTCCGAGTTCTCATGGGACCAGAACAAAATTCAAAACCCCAAAATCAAGCCGAAGGGGCAAGAGAGAGAAACCAGAAGCTAGGCGATGAAGAAGACGCGTGTGAGAAAAAATCATAGAGCTACTACTGTGGACAAGTTATCTCCTTTCCCTTTTTTTGGTTTCTGGGTTTTGCTCATCACAACCCGATCTTCTTTGCCTTTTCTTCAATTCCTTTTTTTTTTATTTTATTAAATTTGCTTTCTTTTTTATTCTCCAATTTACGAATTTGGTGGGTTTGCGATTCTGTGGGGAGCTTTTTCGTTGGCCATTTCTCTTTTGGTTTATGCTCATTGGCACATCGCACAGTCGCACAACAGCTCACGAGCCTCGGCCTCGAGGGTAAAAACCAAATCCCACTTTTTTTTTTTTTCCAAATTCTTTTACTCGGCGAATTCTCGAAAATGACCCTGAAGCATGAAGATAATTTCGATAACCAGGTTTGCAAGTAATGATTGATCCGTTTAGTTAAATTCGAATAATGTGACCGTTTTATCTAAAGAGTTATTGAGTTTTACTAAAGTAGTTAGGAAAATCGAAAATTTTGAATTATAAAATTAAAATTAAATATTTTGTATCTAGAATTCGGTTTGAAATTCAAAATTACGGTTTTGATGATAATTGATTTCATTGTTTTTATTTTTATATTTACAAATAAAATATTGGTTTTAGAACTTAGGATGTTAATTTGATAAATATGTATAGGATTAAAAATCATAGAATATTTTTATTTTATGGTTGGACGATATATATATATATATAATATTTTAATTGATATAAATACGTAACAATTCAACCAAAATAATCCAAACAGTATATCTAAACGCTGTAACGCGTCATCCTCCTCCGAAAATCATGGAGATTAAAATCAGATTTTATGTAAAAAATAAACCCACAAGCTTTTTAGTAAAGGAGATTTTTGTTCTTTAAAAAATTGAAATATGGTAGTGGCAAAATCGTAAATAAGAGGAAAAAGAGGGGTAAAAGGGGAAGGAGCAAAATCGTATAAAAATACCAAAGGCGTGGGAGAGGGGCTCTGCGTAGGCGACAGAGACAGCATCATTATGGTTTTTGCATGCGTCTCCATCTTAAAGCTGAAGCTACTCTTTTTTATTTTCCCCCTTTCAATATATATATATATGTATGTATGTATATATATATTTCTTATTCAGAAATTGTAGTATTTATATATGTGAAAAAAATGCATGATCACAAAACTATTTTCACTTCATAAAAAGATTTCAAAATAAAATATGTGTTTTTTGTTTGCTGCAGCGCACTCATTGGTTTTGCTTGATAAAGTTTAAAAAAATACACCATGAAAATTTTGTAATTTTTATAAACCTTAAAAAATGTGCAAAACAAAAATTGAGATCAAAATTGGATATAACCTTAAAAAACGAATCGAAATTGATATTCATTTGAAATATATTTTTTTTTTTTTCAAATAGGCGAACCAAATCAAGATGAATTCAAGTCACTATCCCATTTTTTACTTTTATTATTATCAAATGTAAAGTAAAGTAAATATTAAGAAAGAACAGTTATCTGACTGGGCCGAGTTAAGGTCATAGGTATATGACCCATATTATTAATGGACCAAACCGGACCGGACCGGATGTGTCCGTACCGTCTCCGCCGAAAGTATAATAAGCCCAAAAGCCCGAGGTTATGGAAAACGCAATCGCAAACGTGAACGCGAGGTTATTTTCGTCAATTCCTTTGAAACTTTTGAAATTTTTTTTTGCTCTTGTCCGATTCAAAGGCTCCTCCTGGTCTAGGGTTATTATATTTCTTCCCTCCGCGCTCTCTAGCTCGAGCTGAGCGCTTCTCAGATCCCTGGAGAGGAAATTTCTGAAATCTCCATCGCCATCTCCAGGTATCCCCCCCTCTCGTATTCTTGCGTTTGTTTGATTATGATTCGCGTATGGATAGAACAGAGCATTTGAACTCGATTTCCAGTGCATAACTTGTGCTTTTTTGAGGAATTTGTTCTCTTTTTTCGTATCTTTGTTTTTTCATTGGATACATTTTCGGATTCGATTGCTTATTGCGTTTCTTTCGGCGATTCTTGGAGAAAGCCTCGCTGAAGGGAGTGTTTGTGTTCCGCTTGTACTCTTTGTTCTCGGTCTGAGCTTGGACCTTTCTTCATTAGATTGTTTGCTCTGAGAATTTTTTTTATTTATTTAGATTGATGATTTGAATCTGCTTATTGTCTTACTTGGGGGCGAATGTAATTTTTTGGCTTAATTTTCAAGATTTTCAACTAACTCCAGTTTAGTTCTGGATCATTTTCTTATTTCGTGGCTAAAATTTGCATAGTCGATGATGCTGTTGTTGTTTAATACAATTGCTTGGGTAATGACTTTTACTTCGCAGGGGATATTTTTGGGGTAGGAATGAGTGCTACAGCGCATAGAACTCCCAGATCAGGGAGGCAATCTCTGCTTTTTCAGGATTTAGCTTCACCAATTTCTGCTCGGAGAGGAAGGTTCTCGACCCCGGGTCAAGCAGCTGCTGTATCTGCTCTATGGCGTGAAAATTTTGGGGGCTCGGATCTTCCGCCTCCTCCGATGTATACTTTGGAAGATCGGTCGGATTTCTCTCCCGAGTCTGGGATTGCAGACTACTCGGCATCGCCAGATATCAAGTCTGACAAAAGATCACCTTTCCAGAGTTCTGGAAAGGATGTCGTCACTCCGGCTAAAGGCAATGGGAGCATGTCTTTTTCTCTACTGAGTGCACAACAGAGTCAACAAGCTTCGGGCAGTTCAAATTGGTGGTCGCCATCAAAGGCTAGTAGTAGCACCGAACCGGATGACAAGGGAAAGGGTTCTCCCGTCGAGGGAGTGATTCAGCCTGGCACATTGGTCACACTTCCACCACCGAGAGAAGTTGCTAGGCCAGAGGTGCAGCGGCAGAGCATACCCACTGGGAACCTTGACGAAGAGGAGTGGGTCACTGTCTATGGGTAAGGTTTATTAAACTTCTTGCTCGGTTTCTTTCTCCCTGCTCTGTGTATGATACTATGAGTGTTTCTTCTACTGTCCTGTCTCCTTGTTTTCTTTTCTGCTTTTGCCGGTCGTATTTGTCATGTTGCTTTGCTACTGTTTGTGCAGAGAAATAGGAACTGATCATGACAACTATTTTTCAGATTTTCTCCAGGTGATACAAATTTGGTATTGCGGGAGTTTGAAAAATGTGGTATGATTTTGAAACATGTTCCTGGTCCGAAGAATGCCAACTGGATGCACATCCTGTATCAGGTTATTGTTCTTTCTTCTCAAAGCATCTGATGCTTGTAGATGTGTTTGCATCATGTATGAGTCTCTTGTTCACACATAGACTTCCAAACCCAAAACTAACATTCGTAATCATCGATATATTGTTCAAAACATGCACAACCACCGCCTTTTTCATGGATTTCAATGGACTGGCATAACAAAAAAAAGCTCTTCCTTTACGTTTTTCGCAGAACCGATCCGATGCACAGAAGGCTCTGAGCAAGAACGGGATGATGATCAACGGGGTTGTAATCGTGGGTGTAAAGCCAGTGGATCCGATGCAGAAGCAAACGTTGAACGAGCGATTAAACAACCAGGGGTTCATGCCTTTACCTCCACCCTCCAACAGAAGCTCCGAGTTCAACAGGTCGAGGCCCTCGTCCCGTCCCCATTACGTTCAAAACGGCGGCAGCACGGTTGCGCCTCAGCCAGGAGGAGCCATGGCCTCTCCGTCTAAATCGCTCGTCTCGAAATTCCTCGACCTTATGTTCGGAGTTTAGCTTCTTCGTCCGCTTCTCCTTGGCTTATACACACCACACGGTATCGTAGGCATTCTCGGGGGTGATTCATCTACAGAGAGAAGAAAAATGTTGAAAGAGTGAAATTACGAGAGATCTCGGAAATGTGTTTTGAACTGCTTAATTGTTTTGTATCGACAATTGTTATATGGGTAAATCGGATGGTCAAAATTTTAGGGAATATATATATATATTGACCTGAATTTGTTATTTCACGTCGATTTTTACCGTATACTACAAAAAATTTATTATGCAAGTCTTGAATTTGTAATATATTTAAAAAAACGTTGGATTGTGATAGTGTCAGAAACAGCCACTATATGTAATTAACGTGCCCGTTTTAAATTGTAATTTTGTTCTAAATTATGAGAGGTAAACAGGATACCCTTGTAAAAAATACATAATTATTTTACAGATTTTTATAAGATATTACAACCTTTTTTTACATGTTATTACAAACTCAAGACCAATAATTTTTTAACGTTACGGGACTAAAATATGAGATGAAACAACTAACTGGAAAACGAAAATTTGGGGATTTTCCCTCAAATTTATTTAATTGTGGAATTTTGTATTGGCACAAAAGGGGAGCTGTTTTATTTTCCTTTGCACTGACTACAATGACCTGAGAGCTCACGGGCGCTGTTTGACCCTCCAGTATATTTATGCCACGTGTCAAATTCACGGACAACACCATCACGAACAAGTTTATATATATGGGTCTCAGGTTACATGCAAATCGAACTCAAGAAACACGATGACGATGGCGAAGAACATAGAGCATGCACCGTCGTCGGATGACGTGGAAATGGCCGTGAAAGAACCAACGGAGAATGACGTCATCACCATCGGAAGTTGCCGGAAAAATGACGTGGCAATGGTGGTGATGAGGGTGATATGCGTGGCGGCGGCGGCGGCGGCTGTGATGTTTATGGTCACTGCCCGTCAGACTAGCGTTGCATCTCTCTATGGCTTCCAACTTCAGCTCCACTCTGTCTGGTCTCTCTCGGATTCACTCGTGTAAGCAACTATTATTCTCTCTTCCCACAATATCATTTTAATATAAAATATAAAAGTTATAATATATATATATATGATATTCATTTTCCAACTGTGTTACAGATATCTAGTCGTCGTCTCATCAGCGACTGCGGCTTACTCGTTGCTCCAACTACTCATAAGTGGAGCAAGACTCGTGAAGAAACGCCCTGTGATTCCGACAAGACACCAAGCCTGGTTCTGCTTCGCTTCAGATCAAGTAAGCAGTTCGTGTTTCTAACGTATTTATGACCGTATACATGCATACGTATTCTTGGAGTGTCTTGATTGCGCATTTTTGTGCATGCATGCATGCGCGCATACGCACGTACGTAGATATTCGGGTACGCGATGATGAGCGGAGGATCGGCGGCGCTGGGAGTGACGAACATGAACAGGACGGGGATAAGACACGTTCCTCTTCCGGATTTCTGCAAGTCCCTTGACCGCTTCTGCGACCGTGTCGCTGTCTCCGTCCTCTTCTCCTTCCTCGCCTTTCTTCTCCTCTCCGCTTCTTCCTTCCTCGACGTCTTTCGCCTCTCCCGAACTTGAAACTACGTACCATCGATCTAAAAACTTGTCGAGAGTTAACGTAATTCTAGAGTCTTACGAATTCAAATCTATTGTATTTTGGTGTATTTTCTTTGGTAATATATGTTTATCCAAGTTGTTTGTGATTTCATCATGGATGCGTCTAGAATCCGATAATTAATGTTTTTTTGTTTGGTTAAAGGTGCATCAATCCGATAATTAATGTGATGATTTATGAGATGTTAGCCTATGTGATTTTGCTATTAAATCAATCTTCTTTTAGAATTTTCATATTTGAATATTATTATGCAGTATTTATATGCCATCTTTTAATCCAAAAAACGTTAGACAGACCAAAAAAATCGATACCCGTATGAATTAACGAGAGAGAGAGAGAGAGAGAGAGAGAGAGAGAGAGAAGTCGAATAAGCGTTTCCAAAGACGCCGTTTTCAAACGCAGCGTTTGCTGAATCGCCAATCGAAAACCCACGGAGAGGAGAGAGCCCTTGTGAAATTATGTTGGGCCAAATGGGCTTTCTGATATTGATACATGGAAACGACGTCGTTTGTGTATTTCCCCTTCGCGAGATTTCACCCCGAGTTCTCTATCTCTAAGCTTGAATACTGAGCTTTAGCACGAAGCTCCTCTTCCCTGCGATTCAATGGCGGTTTATCAAACTCTGCTTGCTTGTTTTCTTGCTTTTCAAGCCTTTATGTAAGCGAATTTTGTCTTTACTTCGACCAAATACATAATCATGGCTTGTCGTTTCCCTCTCCATTCTTCGCCACACCCTCAATTCGTCTCTCCACAATATCGTCCGATAAACCGACGATTACCGAGAAATTATCCGTCAATTTCATGCAAAACGAAATCAGATGCGAACGATGTTCATGGTGATGGGGGCGGTAACGACAAAGCTAAAGAAAACCAGGTAAACCTTCTCGCCATACCCGTGACACTCACAGTAATCTCCGCTTCTCTGGCTCAACCATCTCTCGCGGCAACGAAAACGTCGGAGAGGAAGAGGGCTCAGAAGAAAACCCAGGAAGCTTTGACCCCGGAACAGCTAAAACTCTGGTCCAAAGACCTTCCTGTTGTGTCTGATCGTATACCGTATAGCGACATTTTGAGCTTGAAGGCCGAAGGGAAGCTCAAACATGTAATAAAACTTCCGGGTTTGAATTTACGGCAAAAGGCAGAGCCAGTGTTAGTAGTGTTAGAGGATTCTAGAGTGTTGAGGACAGTTTTGCCGTCTTTAGATGGTAACAAGAAGTTTTGGGAACAATGGGATGAATTAGGGATTGATTCAACGTGTGTTAATGCTTATACTCCTCCGATCAAGAGGCCGAATATGCCATCTCCTTATCTCGGGTTCTTATGGAGAGTGCCCGCATATATGATGACATGGGTTAAGCCTAAGAAAGAGTCTAAACGTGCTGCTGAGTTCAGGAGAATGAGGGAGGATTTCAAGAGGCAACAGAAGGAAGCTTTGCAGAGGATGAGGGAGGATAGAGAGATGGTGGAGAAATCGATGAGGGCACAGAAGAAGCAGGAGGAGAGGAAGAAGAAGAAGGCAATTAGGAAGAAGAAGTACCAGGAGTCGTTGCTCGAAGCAAGGAGAAATTACCAAGATATGGCGGATATGTGGGCGAGATTAGCTCAGGATCCTAATGTGGCAACGGCTCTCGGTTTAGTGTTCTTCTATATATTTTATCGTACGGTGGTGCTCAGTTATAGGAAGCAAAAGAAGGATTATGAAGACAGGTTGAAAATCGAGAAGGCGGACGCAGAGGAGAGGAAGAAAATGAGGGAATTAGAGAGGGAGATGGAGGGAATTGAGGGTGAAGATGATGAGGTTGAGGAAGGCAAAGGTGAGCAAAATCAATACCTGAAGATGGCCAAGCAATTCATGAAATCGGGGGCACGGGTGAGAAGGGCAACAAATAAGAGGCTTCCTCAGTATCTTGAGAGGGGTGTGGATGTGAAATTTACCGATGTTGCCGGGCTTGGGAAGATACGGCTCGAGCTCGAGGAAATAGTGAAGTTTTTCACTCATGGAGAAATGTATCGCAGGAGAGGGGTCAAGATTCCAGGTAAAATTTTCGTAACATCCTTTGCTGCTAGTCTTATGGTAGTCATATTTCCTGCTTTATGTCGCTCTTCTTAGAGAAAGTTTACATAATTTCGATGTATATCATGGTCCATGACATTGTCAAGGCTGCATTTTCCTTTAGGTGGTATACTTCTATGTGGTCCGCCTGGGGTGGGAAAAACTTTACTGGCGAAAGCTGTAGCTGGTGAAGCAGGAGTGAATTTCTTCTCTATTTCCGCTTCCCAGTTTGTGGAAATATACGTCGGTGTTGGTGCATCTCGTGTCCGAGCATTATACCAGGAAGCCAGAGAGAACGTAAGTGTTATCTTGACCTGATCCTCGCCAGCATTATTGAGCTTGTACCGTTTTAGTATCATACAGTTCTTTTAGCTGCAATCAATGCAGAGAATGCTGGTAATGTTTTGTCGTTCTTCATACGTGATCTATGTGTAGTTTGTAAAACTCGGGCTCTTTTCAGATCGTCAAACAGATGACGTTCAATTGCGTTGGTTGGATCATTGAAAGGATTGTACTTGGCTGGATTTTGGGTGATTAAACATATCTTATTAGCATTTGCTTCACTGTTTTCCCTCTTTGGTTCATACAGGCCCCATCTGTGGTCTTCATTGATGAACTGGACGCTGTTGGAAGGGAGCGTGGTTTGATAAAAGGTTCTGGAGGGCAAGAAAGAGATGCTACTCTCAATCAGGTTTAAGGCACATCTGACCGTGCAATTCCTGCTTTGAGTTTTTGCTTGATGTAAATATCATACCCTTTGTATTACAGCTCCTTGTATGCCTAGATGGGTTTGAAGGAAGAGGGGAAGTCATCACTATTGCTTCAACGAATAGACCTGACATTCTAGATGCTGCCCTCGTGAGACCTGGAAGATTCGATCGAAAAATTTTCATTCCCAAACCCGGCCTTATTGGGCGCATGGAAATTCTGCAGGTAATGCTTAATCTTGTCATTGTATATATGCTCTCATACTTAATTGTTAAGAGTTTTGTGACATTTTGATTGACATAGGCAAGACCTATCTCTTCCTCTTTATTTGATCTGTTCAGGTCCATGCTCGTAAGAAGCCGATGGCTGAAGATGTGGACTATATGGCAGTTGCTAGTGTGACTGATGGTATGGTTGGTGCAGAGCTTGCTAACATTGTCGAGATTGCTGCAATAAATATGATGCGTGATGGAAGGACCGAGGTAGGATCTGTCTCTAAAACCCTATGTTTTTACATTACATACAGTAAGGGACTGGTTCAAATTTCGAAAAGAGAAATCATTAAAAGAAGGTATATGGAGAAAGCAGCTCTTTTTGTGACTTCCTAAGAATCTAGTAATCTGGATGGTTAGTCAAGGTATCTGAGTTGGATTTTAAGGGCTTAAATAACGTGCCCGGATAAGTTCATGATCTTTTTCCCCCCGGATAAACCAATTAAAGACTGTATACTGATAAAACTCTCTGTGATGATGGCATAGATTACAACAGATGATTTGTTGCAAGCTGCACAAATAGAAGACAGGGGAATCTTAGATAGAAAAGAGAGGAGTCCCGAGACTTGGCGACAAGTTGCTGTGAACGAGGCTGCAATGGCTGTTGTGGCGGTGAACTTTCCCGACCTGAAGAACGTTGAATTCGTATGTTTCTTCTTCTTATTCCTTCTCTTCAATTTCCATCTCTCTCAATTGTGGCTAGTTCGTTGTTTTGCTGCATGCAAATACCCTGGAAGGAGCTGTTCATATTCTTAACCGACATTGACCAGGTCACAATCAATCCTAGAGCAGGTAGAGAACTGGGTTATGTCCGGATGAAGATGGATCATATCAAATTTAAGGAAGGCATGCTTACGTAAGTTGGCTTAAACAGTTAAAAAGGTTACTTTCTTTCACGTAAACACTCGAAACTCGAGAATCTTTATGCAATTAGTAGGAATAAATTGGTCTTTTTTTGTTTCCTCGTTATAATACAGCCGACAGTCCCTCTTGGATCATATTACTGTCCAGTTAGCTCCACGTGCTGCAGATGAATTATGGTACGGTGAGGGGCAGGTAAGACGGTATTTTCCTTTCTCCATGATCCAGCAGGTCACATTCTTCTTCCAGTTCAATGATACCCTTGATATAAGGTTATATCTTCCGGTACAATAGTTATATGGCAAGTGGGTCTTTTTATCGGGTGACTTAGGTCATAACTGAGAATTCTATGGCTCGAATCTTTAGTTTTGCCTTGAGGGTACCAATCTTATCGAGCTAATTTGTTTCAGTTGAGTACGATATGGGCTGAAACAGCGGATAACGCAAGGTCAGCTGCTCGAACGTTTGTTCTTGGAGGCCTTTCGGACAAATATCACGGCATGAATAACTTCTGGGCGGTTGATCGAATCAACGTAAAGCCCACACTTTTGAAAAAGCCCACATCTTTATCTTTATCTCTTAGAAACAAGATCTGGAATGGGTTGAGTAAATTTGGTTGGGACCTTTTGATTTGCAGGATATAGATACAGAAGCGTTGCGGATATTGAACATGTGTTATGAGCGTGCCAAAGAGGTAGATAGATATACTACTACCCTGTCCTAGTGGTGCACGGTCGGCTACTTGGCTGTGAAACTAATGGCTGACACTAATAGTGTTATTTGAACCGTTGGAAATCAGATTCTGGAAAGAAACAGGAAGCTGATGGAAGCAGTGGTGGAGGAGCTGGTTCAGAAGAAAAGCCTTTCGAAACAAGAGTTCTTTAGTCTTGTTCAGTTGCATGGATCCATCGGACCGATGCCTCCGACCGTTCTTGAACTCAGGAGAATCAAACGCTTGCAGATGCACGACATGTTGAACAAACACAGCTCCGTCGCTCTGGGAAGAAGCTCCTGCGTCTCTGATCGCTGAAAACCCACCATCTTCGTGTTCCTCCGATCTCACAGAGAGAGGGAACAAGATATATTCGCGTTTGCGTTTGGGATATCCGTGACGCAGGTACCGGTGTCTGGAACGCCCAAAGCAAAAAGAAGACAACAATTCGGACATGAATTCTGCAATAATGGGGAGGGCAACGGTTCATCGTATACTTAAGTTACATTCGAATGGTATTTTTTTTAAATGATTTTGGGATATTGCCAATAATCCATTTTTATCTCTATTTCAATCTGAAATTGTAGGATAATTTGTCTCCCAATCCCATCCCATTTTGTTCTACCGCCCGCACAAATATACTGGATTTATATATATATATATATATATATATATATATATATATACACACATGGGTGTCTATATATACATACATACATAATATGCATATTATTATTCTCCACGACTGTGGTGTTTTGCCTAAAGTCAGTAGTGTCAACCACGTTGGGGGGTCCAAGAATCGTATGAGTTTTAAGGGGCGACTCCACCACAGTATTTAATTATTTAATTAACTTGTCATAATCTAATAGATTTTAACCCCAAAATAATATATGCTTAACGGTCCAACAAAAATGACAAATGACACTTTTTGGGATCAAAATTCAACCAGAGAGAGAGAGAGAGAGAGAGAGAGGTTAGTTGAATGGCCATTTTGTTCGCATGTCTACTCGCTCACCCTCTTTCCATGATTTTAAAATTTATTTAAAAAAAACATATTTTCAGAGGGTCTAAATTCCTAAACACAGACCCAATAAAAATTTAAGATTCTATAAATGTTTGTTATACAAGATAAATAATGTATATGGATTAGTCATAAGATTATGTACACCATGAATATAAAATAAATAATATATATATATATATATATATATATATATATATAGATTTTTTGTAAAACATGAATAAAGAAAAATATAAAATTTCGCGCAATCGCATTCTCGAGTAAAAAGATTTCAATGATCTCTGTCCATTTTGTTTTGATTAACCATCAACAGCCATTTTAATCATCAACATATTCGATAATCACAATTTTTAAGGAATGACTTTATAATTTTTTTTAAAAAAGGTATAGAAACATATGATAACAACTGATATAAAAATTTAACAAATTGATACATATATTATGACAACCAAAAATCATTTTGATTAAAATTAGGAAAATGAAATCATTACCTGAGAGAAAGGTGGGAAGAAGTGGAATTACTCAAGGTCAGTTAATTCTCAATTAATTCTAATTAACTTATTTTAATAATAATAATTATTATTATTAAAATGATAACATATTTTAAAGAGGTGACAAGTGTCATGTGTGTGTATATATAGATATAAGATATGTACATGAAAATACATATGTGATTAAGCCTTCCAAAAACCCAAACCGCTCATCAGCCCCTTTGATCGGAGAGAAATCTATTTTTTTTAACGAAAATTGATTCTTTCATCGGAAGCATCATCGGCTTTTGATGGAAGTGTTGCAGAGCATCAATGGCGTCGATGAGTCTTATCGCCATCTCCCAGCTCTCTACTTGACCTTTTTGTCGATTTGGTTTCTCTCGGCTTGTTCCTGGACGGTTAACACCTTCAATAGTCGCCATTTTCAGGTCAAAATCTCGAAATTCTGTTTCTATCTCGATTTATCCGATACTCTCGATCACGGGCCAAGCATTTCGTGTTCACTTTGTCGGATTCTCCGTTGGATAGTTTTCCAGCGATCGTTGGTTGGTAACTGTTCATCAGAACTCAATCGCATTGATTCTGATCATTATGGTATCTTTTGCATAAAATCGTGGAAGTTCTTTGTTAGTACATGCTTTTGTCGTTCGTGCTTGCACAAATTTAGATGACTCTGATTGATTTGCCTCTCTCTTAGTGTAGCTTCTCTTGGTCTTCCACCTCCGATTCACTGATTTTGATTCCTTTTTTGTTCTTTTTGTTTGTGTTGATTCATCTAACTGCTAGAGCAGTCAAATAATTTGCAGTGGACTCTTGCCTCGGTTCCATTGATCAAAGCCTTGCAGCTCACTCTATCTTTCCTCTTTTGGTAAGTTCTGTTTCCGCCATTATCATATCTTACCTGAGGAAATGAAGAGCATTCTCTCCTTTTATCTGTGGATGAGCTTTTGTTCACTCATTCAAGAATGGTGTCTTCTGTTTTCAAGATTTAAAATTTTTGTTTCTTGTGCCCTTTTGTGGCAATGTAATCTCAAAGTTTCAGTTGCCGTTGACAGTGTTTTAGTTGCAAGTAGGGTAATGGTATGATTCTTGACGATGTTTCTGCAGGTATTCATGTTTTCACCATCACGTATGCTCTCTATGGATGTCTTTCGGCGTATATGTGACCGGCGTTCTATTTCAGACAGCTTCATTTGTTTCTTTCTTACTCATCTCTCATGGTTACTGCATCACTTGTGAACGCCTCTCTCTGACCGAACGAAGAACTACTGCTTCACTTGGCTGTGTCTTTTATTTGACCCTTGTTGGCTATCGAGCTTCTGTTCCTTATTTTACAGTAATAGTTCCCTTCTCATTCTTTGCACGTTTGAGAACTCTTGCCGGTCTAATGTGCTGATTCCCGTCTTTTCTGTGTCCTCAGGTGCTTCTGATACTTAACTATATAATCTCATTCTACGTTATTTTTCATCACATATCACAAAACCTATCGGTGTTAAGAGAACAGCTAGCTTTTATCGAGGACGAGAACGTTCAGGCTATGCATGATGCTGTGTACACAAAATACATCATGTTCAAGTATGTTTTTTCTTTGTTCGGTGCCTGCATTTTTTGGTAGATTTTGATAGGAAATCTGCACAAAAAAGGGCACTTCAAACCACTATCTTATTTCTTGTTTTGTTGTTCAGGAAATTCCAAGGTGCCATGCAAATTGTAGCCATGGCCGAAACAGTGGTACAAAGATATGCTCATTCCACCATCATTTTTTTATTTTCACAATCTTTGAATCCAAAGTTTTGTTCCTTTATTCACAATCACTGCTGTTCTGCAAGCAGATCTATATGAACATGGATAACTCTTCACAGAATTATTGGCTCCGGCTACTAGTACGGGAATGGGCACAGTTTTGCATCTTTCTCTATATCGGGTGAGTTGCGATTTTGCTTATACCCTTTCTCTCTCGGTAAGCCATTTGGTTCTCTATGTTACCAAAAATCCAATTTCTTGCTTGGTCAAGTGGTAACAGTCATCCCGGACTATTTTTTGCAGGTGGACTTTCCGGTCCCAAGACTTGGCTCCACGCTTCTCAGTAATGCCGACTCTAAAACTCAAGGAGAATTCTGTGATTCCTCCTATTTACAGCGTGGTAATGGCAAAGTTTCACTCTTTTAGAAAAAAAAAAATTGTATTTTCTGCTGCCCTTCGATATCTCGAACATGTTTCAACTATGAACGAGAATGCGGTATAGTGTTCTGTACTAATATGCTAATACTTGTCATGCAGGAAATGGACGAGAAAACTTTCAAGGAATTTAGAAGCCATGAATGGAACATCGGGCTGGTAAATAATCCTGTCCAGCTCGTGTTTATCGACACTTTTGTTTCCCTCTCTTTGCTCTAACATGTTTGGGCGTATGCATATTCATTCATACGTATGTTCTATGTCATAAAACCCGAAATTGATTGGATATTTTTACTGGCAGCCGATGCCCTGTTCCAACGAGAGGCATAAGGACTCGGTTCTCGTGATAATTCAGCATCCACGGTAGGAGTTTACACGCCTTCACTCTCTGACTCTGCTCCTGCGTTACGGGTTGCAAGAAAAGATGCATTTGTCTTCGTCGAATCACCGGAGAAAGTAATGTCCTGAACCTAATGTCACCGGAGAAAGATGCATCGGCCCATGAGTTTGTGTCCCATCCTGAAATCCGACCTTGACCCCTTGTCCCTTTTTGCTTTATGATCTTTATAGGAGATGTTAACATTACCTGTATATTCTTTCAACACCAAGGCAGATTACATGCTCGTACAAGTCGCCAACATATACAAAACATGTGCCAATTTCGCTTCCCCAACCATCTTTTACATGACACGTCCAAGGAGGTTACAGAAGAAACAAAGTGATGAGTTAGTGATGGAAGAAGATGCTTTGTGAATGAAAAAGTTCAATCATGAAACAAATGACCAAATGGGCTTCCCTTTTTCTGTTTCTTTTTTCAGTCTGTTTCGCCCAGTTACAAGTTCCTTTCTCCACTTATATATAACAAAGACAAGAGAGAGAGAGAGAGAGAGAGAGAGAAGAAGCAACTCTACAAGTCCATGGCAACATACCGTGGGAGCTTATGCAGTTTCTGCTCTCCGAAACGTAAAAACAAATCCGACCAAAGAAACACAAGAACCGCATAATACTTACCTCTAGGATTTCTTCCTTCCCAAATCCATTATGGAATTGAAAAACACACCTCCAAATCACCGCAGTAAGCTCCCCACAGGGATCACCATCTTAACAAACAGGTCCATCATCTCACCGAATAATCTCATCTATTACGACCAGATCGATTGGTAAATATCAACCGAGAAGAGCCATCAAGATACTCTCTTTGTGTCTCGGGCCGCCGCCATATGATCCTGCATTATGAACAGTAAATAGATTTAGATTATCCGACTCAGCTTAACTTTTCTGAAGAAACAAATTGATGCTTTCCTATAGAATATGTTCCCTACCCGCAGACTGATGTCACACAGCTCACAAGGGTAACATGAACAGAGGAAAGACGACCACGAAAAAAAAAATCTAGAGTGAGAATGAGAACTTACGGAGATGAAGTCGAATGCTCGTGTATCTTCCTTCTTTGAACCATTCATGACCGAGGTTGGAGGCTGATTAGCGAAATTCGCCTGGAATATATCAGGAAATGCCGAGGGATATCCTCCACTAGTACCAGTGGGGAGACCAGTCTCACCACTTTGAGCATTCATGTTACCAAGTTGCTGGAAACTAGACATACTACCAAGGAACTGCTGCTGAGCTAACAAATTCGCCATGGCAGCATAATTAAATGGCTGAGAAGCAAAAGCTGGATTCAACATCATCGCTGGAGGAAAATTGAATGGCATAACACCCCCTGGAGCCATTGGGTTTTGCATAAACCCAGGAATTTGTGAACCGGGCATGCCTCCTGTGGGATTTTCTGGTGCATGGTGGACAACAGTGCTTGAAGTTGCAAACAAGTTCTCAGGAATGGTGCTGGACGATGACCCTTTCTGATTTGAGGTGCCCCCATTGATGGAAAAACTTGCCATCAAATCATTTATGTTATTCGGGTTTTCTGGTTCCGTTTTAAGGTTTGAAATCGAGCCAAACATATCAAATAGCTCAGGCTCAGTCCTGATGTCTTGCGCACGATTACCATCAGCAGTTGGCTTTGCACCAAGAGTCATTCCAGAGAACAGGTCATCCGGGTTTTCTTTTACTTCACCAGAATGAAATGATACATCTGCAAAAGGATCATCGTCGTTTCTTTTCTCGCTGCTATTCAGTTCAATACCTGTGCTATCCCCAAACAGATCATCCATCAACGGTGCCGCTGTACTGGCCACACCTACATCGCTTGGCTTAGTCACAGTATCATCTGTTAAAAAATCTGACTCACCCGTGTCAATCAAGTCAGGTAACTCAACAGTAGAAGCTGTCTCTCGCTTCACTGAAGTTTCTCGATTACTCATCAAGCCACTTGACTGTCCACCATTTAGAAGGCCCAGAACCTGCTCAGCATGCCAGTATCTTTAGAATAACCCATTATCTGAGAATTAAGCCAGAGAATAGCAAAGATTGCACTGTGGATAGTTATAATACACAGATCTTACCCTCGTAGCCTTTTCCCGGAGAGAAGCTTGGGGAGACTCTGAGCATCTTTGTATGACATCCATGTTTTCACTAAAATAAGTAGCTACAATAGAAAAATTCTCATCATCCTTCTTCCTTAAAATGGCCTCAAGGACACATACAGCTTTCATCCGGATCTGCAGATCAAAAGACCCCCTGATTTACATATCACAAATATGGAAGGAATCTACAATGCTTAAGGAGAACGAGTAAAGGAAAAATCATACAAATGCCATTATAAATCAGAAAAAGAAAAAAAATATCATTCACCTAACAGCACATGCATCATGTAAAAAAGAGACTTTTCGGAGGAGGTGACTAGAAAATATTAGTGTTATTAATACCTGCCACATCGGAGATTGGAGCTTCGCGTCAAGAGCAATGCTTAAAGCTACCGCATCCAGTTTTGCAGCCTCAGAGAGGAAAACTTGAAGTGCATCACGAGTGGGCTGCAGTCGGACACCACCAGCTGTTACAATGGTTTCCAACAGCTTCTCTTCACGAGTCCTACTCACAACATGATCTGAAGCAGAATTTTCACTTGCTCCACCTGACATTTGGCCCCAAGTTCCACCATCTGTGTTCCTCGACATCCCGTAGTTGCCATTGTTTCCTAATTTAACCGGCTCATATCTACCAGAGCTTTCATTTTCCATAGTTAACGATCTATGGAGATTTGGACCCCGGTAGCTTCCCATCTCATTCTTCTTAGGCAAATGACCTTGAGCAAAGGTACTAAGTCCTTGCTTTATAGATGCGCTGCCAAGGCCCACCACTTCACTCAGGAACGATTTTTTATCCTCAGACGGCATCGCAAAGTTAGTATTTCCAAACCCTTCTATGCGTTTGCTGACACCTTCAGGAGCAGCAGCGGGTTTACTGGGCTCCTCCGAGAATATAGCAGAGACAGCTTCCTGAGCTGTCTCCCTTACAGCCTTATTAAGGGCATCCCCTTTTAGTGGATCCGGATGCCCCTTGTAGTGTAATAAATTGCGCACTGCAACCGAGTTCCGTTGCATCTCTCTTCTAAACTCTGCTCCAGACTTTCCCACGGCATACTTTATCAACCTAAGAGCCTGTTAGAATACGACAACAAGAATCCGACATTTCAAACTTGAACTCTACTCTTGTAATTCATATGGAAAATAAATTGATCGCTTTTCTATAACCAGAAGAGCCAAGAAATAAGTGTGATATCTCAAATATACCAAATGTTCTCCAATTCTCGCATCTAGAAATCAACTAGGAAACTAAACCGATCCCTAGCATGCAACAAGTGAATCAAGAGCTTCTCAAGCTAAAAGATCTCAAAGGAAGGGTCTTTAATCCGTCAAAGGCACGTGGGGGGATGGGACTCTTCTTCAGAACCCAATCGAAACAGGAAAACGAAGGCAATTGCGGATACCTACCTTCTGCTTAACGATGGGGCTCTTGTGATCAAGACGTTTCAAGATGAACTCGGAGAATTCCTTAACGATGCTGGCATGAGAAGATCGCAGGAGGTCGCAGATCTCTTCGAGCTTGTAGACAGGGGTCACCTTGTCCTCGTCGGATGTCGCCACATCGATCATCCGAGACCTCCAGTACGATTCAACAGCTCTCCTGCTGGAATCCATGGCGAACCCAAGAAAGCCCTAATTCCCAAGATTACGACAACACCTCGTCCTTGCACGACAAATTCGCGCAAAAGGGTAAAATGCCAACGGTTGACAAACCAATCTCACGCTCACAGATCACGATCTGGGAAGTCGGATATAGGCCAAATATCTCAAGGAAAGATCGCGATCGGGAGCAGAAACCTCCTCTTCCGACCAATCAACGCACAACGAATTGCGAAATTGCCCCTGCGACAAGGAAATCAAGATGCAATCGGAAACAGACTGATCATTTTGGTCGGAATTAAGGCTGTCCCCTGTCTTCGGGCGGAGAGAGAGAGAGAGATCGGAGGAGAAGGGAAGAGAGATTCACCGGTCGAGAGAAGTCAAGAGGATGATTGCGTGGCGTGCCTCTTCGGCGGCTTTTTCTCACTGTCTCATTTGATTCATATGAATTTTTTTTCCCTTTTTGTCCTTTTCTTTCATGCCTTTTTACCTCCGATTTTTATTTTAGATTTTCATTGAGTTATTACATAATAAAAATATGAGCATTCTCTTACGGGAAAAAAATAAAAATTAAACTCTGCTTTTTTCCTCTGCCCACAAGACAAGAATCAAGAATGTTCCATAAAAAAAAAACATCAGACAAAAAAAGAATCTAGCCCCCAGAGTTCGATCAATATGCCTCAGTTATTACTGCATCCATAGCATCATCCGTCTCCTCCTCTTCGACAACCTCGTTTCTGAAAAGGGTTTTGAAGTAGGGAACAACCTTCGGAAGAACATGCAAGTCCGCCATGTTTATACTCATCATGTCGAAAGCTATGCACGTGTTGTGCATGTGCGACTCGTCTATCACCGGAATCTTTGGGTATCTCTGGCTGAAATGCGTCAGAACGATTCGATAAACCCCGGCCGAGGATCCTACCTCTATCGCTTCTTTCGTCGTGCTGTGGTTCTTGGCCACTGCCTCTTCTACCAACCCGTCTTCGAATGTAGCCTGCGAATAACGGATCGACCCAATACGTTAGATTACAATCACAGCGGCGAGAGGACACGAGAGGATATTCAATCAACCGACCTCGTGAATAAGAACTGTCGCTCCTCGTGATGCTTCGACGGTTTCAGGACAAGGCCTTGAGTCGCCTGAATACACGATCTTCCATCCCGGGATCTGTTTTCCCGAGCTGTTTATCCTTTCTGCTGCTTTTACAACGACGCCAAACGCTTGAGGACAGTGTACAACGGGGAAACTGATCAAATTCTCAAGACCCATTTCGTTAAGGACATTCTTCAACTTCTCTAGATATGGCAAAGCTGAAGAACTGTCTGTTGGGCTACTGGGTCTTTTCCAAATGCTCTGCATTACACTTCCTCTGCTAAATAAAGAACCCTCGGTGCTACTACCACTGTTACTCTTTTCGGGACAGCCATCTAAAGAAGCCCAAGAAGCTTCTGTGGTGTTCCTACAATCAAGAAACTCCATATCTAGATCCTCGAGTCTTTGATATGCATCGAGAAATCTCTTAAGTGACCTTGGTCCTACCACGAGTGCAGGTTCATGGGGAACTCCTTTCAAAAGTTCACGTCTCAGCGCAAGAATTCTTGCTAGACCCGCATGGTGATCAGCATGGATGTGAGATATCCATATACACCTCATGTTTCTGACAGCTTCATCAGCCCCTTCCAGACCATATCTTTAATTTATTATGTTCACCACCGGGGAAATCAGTGTAAGAAAACAAGACCGATATTAGTGACAGCAAATGGAAGACGATATGGGACAAGAAAAGAAAAACCCGAAATCATAGTTATTACCTTCTTTTAAGCTGGCCCAAGGTTCCTTCCCCGCAATCTAAGAGAAGGCTACCTCTAGAGAAAAGATTGATATAAACTGCACTGACATTTCGGTATTTGGAAGGCTGGGATGAACCAGTGCCCAAAAGAACTATCTCCATGTCATCTCGCCTAATGTTTTCAAGACAACTCGGGATAGTGATCTCAGTCAACCATGGCTCTTCAATCATCATTTTGTTGTCTTGTCCATTCCACAACCGCTTTATTTCTTCAGTCTTTTCTTTGATCTCGGGAATTTCTGTAAGTAACTCATCCATCACTCGTGAGGATGTTAATTGACTAGGAATGCATGATCTGTCCAGTCCAAGATTAGCATATGGACGCAAAGTGAACTGCCAAGCAAAAAGAAAACGAAAAAGAAGGTGGGTTAAGGACACAGACGAAAAATGAAGACATGGACATGTTCCCTCACCCGGTGACATTAGGCACTGAAGATGGGTAGCATAGCAAAGATTTCAGCTTTTCATACTATTTCAATCAGAATGAAACTGAGGAAGCAGTACACTGAAACAATCCATGTCTCCTCAGTATTTTATTTACGAGATTAGGTTAGAAAACGAGCAGGGTCTCTGAGAATATCAATACCTTAAGGAGATTTTCAGCAGATATGCTTTCACCAAGACCTGAACTGGAGCACTGTGAGAGAAGGGAAAAAAATACATGCCTTAGACATTGAATTCAAAGAATAATCCTGAATTCAACTCAATGAAGAAGTTATCAGAACACCACAGCAACCTTGTTCAAAGGGTTGGAATTTGTTGTCGAGTTATTAACTTGTTCAGCTGACCAAAAGCCAGGAGCCGGGAAGAACTGCGGGCATAAATAGTTTAGCCTGGCTGTGATTCTTGAACTGGCTTTCAGAATCGGAAACTCCATATTCTTCCTGGGTAGACACCAAAAGAAATATTAGACAGAGTATATTACCAGTTTTGAATTTCGATGAGAAACAACAGTACAGAGGCGACTCACGTTTCATGTCCAGCAAGAATATGCTGGGCCGAACTGAATTTCTTCATCCAGTTTTGATAAGTAGGACTACTTGTAACCAAAGCTGGACTCAAATGAATTATACAATTAACAACCTTAGCCTCATTAGTTGTGTTGTCAGGGCATGAATAATAACATTCCAGGGAATTAACAGATAATAGCTCCTCGGCATGGGACTCTGTTGGACAGTCCACAAGGAAAACGATAGGACCAGGAACTGAAGGTCCCATCACGTCACACGGATGGACCTATAATCAGGCATGAAAATTTCATTTTAAAATTTACACAAACTTTCAAACGAACAAGGAAACTAAAGTGATGAATTTTGAATATCTTATTTTCTTTTAAACGTACCATAATATCTTGGAAATCTGACTTCACTGATTTCCCAGATTGAAGTTCACTGTACTTGGGACCAGGTCTCAGCCCAAGAGCCTTGGCCTTCTTAGGGTCAAACTTTCCCGCGATTTCAGGTAATTCACAAACATATATGACTGACATTTCACCAGGTCTTTTGGTAGAGTCCTCTGAACAACGTGGTTCAAGGAGGATAGCAGATATTTTGACAACCTCATCATTCACAAGCACGATGGGATCTCCAGGCTTGACAGGATCGACTTGAGGAGTGGAGTCAAATGAACTCGATGGCCCGAAACTTCGTGTGTGAACCATCGCAGCACGTGGAATGAATGACCTCATAGCATCAACCAAGTACTTGAGATCTGAAGGACCCCATACATTCACCTTTCCAGCAAAAAAAAAGGGTTCAATAACGCATATGATAGCAGGATGAAAAATACGAAAAAGAAGAAAATTTGCAGGCAATGCAGACACAGATCTTATAAGCCAGTACTTCGTTGTGCAAGAAAAATACTCACGGAAAGTCCTTCTTCACCGATACTAGCTAAAGTCAGCAGAAGGCCTGAGCATTGAATACGAAAACTTAGCATCAGGCAATAATAATCACACTGCAAACAAAAGGTGAAGCAGCAAACACATTGAGGATGATACCTAAATCACTTAGAACAAACCTGGAAGTCCTCCTGCTGTCTCTGAGCAGATACGAGACAAAAATATGTGATCGATCTGAAAGGCGATCACATTCAAACTCATCTCATTTCACACAGCTAAGAAAAAAATCGATTATGCGGAGACAGGGTTGAGTCCTACCTTTGATAGCTTAATTTTATGTTCTGTACAGAATCGTTGCAAGCCCTGCAATTAAATTTTACCCATAAGCTCCAACGTAACATAGCCTTTTCTGGGAGGGAAAAGAAGGTTCTTGTAAATTCAAAAGACAAACTGGTAATTTTGATCCAGATTCAATAATCGAACAGTATACACTAAGAAAACTTAAAAACCAATATGAACAATGCTAGTCAAGAGAAGCTGTAGACATAAACGTACCTCTCCAGCATTAAAGATGAATCTTTGTTTGTCAAAAAAGAGTAAGACAGAAGGTGATGTGTCCTGTGTGTCCATTCCTGTTCCAAGGATCTACAAAGACGATGAAAACTTAGATTAACGACCTACAAAAGCAATTTTCTGGTTGATTCACGGGAACAAAAGTGATTAACTTGGCGACAAATCTAACGACCACCGGAATTTGAAGAGGAGACAAACTCGTTCAAATAGGAAGACAACCCGGGAGAAAAAATTCCAAACTGGAAGAACAAACGACACCCAACAGATAAAACTCAACACTTTCTGACAGAGACATCGAACCTGAACATAGGCAATGGTGTTGGTGGGGTTGAGCTTGCGAACTTTCCGCTCGAGATTCTTCTTGGGCTTATCGACCTTATCCATCCCTTCAGCTCTTCTCTTATTAAACTCAAAAGAAGAAGTAGGACGAGAAGACCTGTTATTAACATCGTCCTTCTCCATTGTCGACGACCCTTTTCTGTTCTGGCTCTTGCCCTCCTCCAAGCTACTCCACTTGCGCCTGGTGAACACCGGAGAAGGGTCTCGGAGACGGTGTCCGGAGGAAGTACGGTGACGCCGGGAGAAGGAGGACGAGGACGCGAGGACGGTCAATAGAGAGAAGGGCCGTGAGAAGGGTTTGAAGAAGAGAGGGAAGGAGGAAGAATTGAGAGGAGAAGAGACGAGAAGGCGTAGGTTTTGGGGAATTTGGGGCATTGAAATTGGAATTGACTTTATCATCTTCGAACAACAAAACCCTATTTTTCCCAGTCGTCTTGAGAAGGGGTTTTAGGCAAAATTGGAAAAACTACAATATATTTTATAATGATTATTTTATATAATTAGAATATGCGCAAAGCTGGAGTAGCTCAGTTGGTTAGAGCGTGTGGCTGTTAACCACAAGGTCGGAGGTTCAAGCCCTCCCTCTAGCGTTTTTTTTTCTTATATTTTTTTTTTACGAAAAGGAGAAAAAAACTTAATGTTACAAATTTATTTTTGTTTTTGATTTGAGCTAATCGGATTAAAACGATAGAATTTGTATACATTAGTACAACATATGATATGAGGTTACGGTTAATTTTCCTTTTGGATAACCAAAATTCTTCCCCCAAAACCAATTCCGGTTCGGTTTGGTTCGGTTAGTATTGTTAACCGATAACGAGAACCGGACAAAGGCACAGAGATAAGGGAGGCCAGAGGCACCACACAACTTCACAGAAACACCCATTACTATTATTTTTTTTTAAACAAGACATTACCCAAAATAAAATAAATACCAAAGAATTGATTAAAAAAAATAAACAGGGTTGAAAAAATGGGAAGTGCACAGATGAATGCATCGGGCTTAGTAGCAGCATCTCTACCTCCAAACCACAAATTTGCTCACAAAACCAAGTCATTGAGGCTGTCCAAACACAACAATGCCGTCAGATTTTGTAGAGCCGACAACGCCATAAGAGCCGTCGGCACCGTGCCGGCGAATCAATCTCCGGCCACCGTCGACGACGACGAACCTCCCTCCGTCGATTTCGCCTTTGTCCACGTGAGTTTTTTTTTTTGTTGGTTATTTAAAAATGTAGAATTTCTGAATTTGGTTTGATTTATAGAAAAAAACTATTTTATGGAGATGAAATCTCTTTCATTTTGTACTTTGATTCTGATTTTTTTTTAAATGATTCTATTTGATCCGAGAACCATGCCTTATACATAATATAATGCCCTAATAAATATCATATCATTAATCCAAATGTAAACTTAAAAATTCGGAAGCCATAGTTTTTTTTTATAACTAGAAAGTTCACTAGGTCTAATCCATCTAGACTGTATTTAGGCACGTAATTAATTATTAATTGTACCTTTTTTCTCCAAAATCGAACCCAAATAAAATTTCAAAAAGTTGTAATTTATAAAAAAAAATATTTTTTTTGGGGTGAAGTCCGTACTGTTGCCGGATGGAACACCAGACGTACACATGAGAAGAGCTTGCGGCGGACAGAAACTAAGGGACATCATGTTGGATTCCAACGTCGAACTATACGGTCCCTATGTATGTTAAAGTCTCTCTACCCTTTTCTTTTTTCCAAACACACCGTATATTAGCGCGTATTTGTTCTTGCAAAACCCTGAACGAGTTTATACGAACAATACCGTACGTATGTATAAACAGTGTTATATATACTAACGTGTTTGTGTGGTAAATATTTTAGGCTAAGCCATTGTCGAACTGTGGGGGAGTAGGAACTTGCGGCACTTGCATGGTTGAGGTAACGTTACGTATGTTAGATATATATAGTACGTACAAAATTATACGTACAAATATATACGTACACCTCAACTTGTATATGTACGATGTTCATAGTGAACACAATGATTCAGATCTCATCTTAAGCAATGATTCCGACCGATCGGTTTGTTGCAATCATTTGTGTATAGGTCGTGGATGGGAAGGAACTTCTAAGCCCTCGAACCGATATAGAAAAGGAGAAACTTAAAAGGGTATATATACACACCCATATATACATATACGTATATACATACGTATTTGTACTCAGTGCTTGTCATCGATTGTAAATGCGAGTACCGTTTTACACAGAAACCGAAAACGTGGAGGCTGGCTTGCCAAACAGCAGTTGGAGAATCGGACTCTAATGGACTCGTAAGCGATCTCTAAGTATACAATTTCATATTCTATATGATTAAATTCGAATTCGATGACCAAAGTATTGATACAAGTATGTTAATTTTGATTATATGAAACAGGTTGTCATTCAACAATTGCCCGAATGGAAAGCCCATGAATGGAAGATGAACAAAGATTTGGCATATAATCCCGAGGATTAATTCTAAACAAAATTACGCATTTAATTAAATCATAACATGATGTTTAATTATTACGATCATTAGTTTTTTTTTTAAATTAATTATTTTCGAATTTCGAGTCCCACAAGATGCAAATAGATTTTCCACCGACAAATCCTCATTCAATCAATTATCATACGACTTTGAAACAAAGAGAGAGATACGAGAAACAAGATCCAGAAACCCAAACCGAACGATCCAAGACATAAACCGAAACATGAACACAAACATGATCTCAATCAGATTCAGAAGTCGGAAGCAAGAGGAACATGTTGGCTCGACATGAAGGCGTTGGAGTAGACGAGACCGGCGAGGCCGCCGCCGATAAGCGGACCGACCCAGTAGACGTAGTGACCAGAGAAGTCACCGGCCGCAACGGCTGGGCCGAAGGAACGAGCCGGGTTCATAGAGCCACCGGAGAATGGTCCAGCGGCCAGGATGTTGGCCCCGGGGACAAACCCGATGGCTATGGGAGCGATGGTTCCTAGCGAGCCCTTCGGCTGGCCCGAAGGACCGAGCCGGGTTCATAGAGCCACCGGAGAATGGTCCAGCGGCCAGGATGTTGGCCCCGACGATGAACCCGATGGCTATGGGAGCGATGGTTCCTAGCGAGCCCTTCTTGGGATCGGCTGCGGTGGCGTAGACAGTGTAAACCAATGCAAAGGTGATGATGATTTCCATTACAATTCCCTCAACTGCTCCCAGTCCGGCCCCGACACTGTGGATTGGGACAGCCTGCGTTTTGTTGATGAAATTGTTTCATATGTGTCAGTCAGTCCATTCATTTCGTTGATCTATGTGCAACAAAAAATTATGGGTTTTGCGTGTATCGTTTTAACTTTATAATAACCAAAATCATTTCATTCAACTTTATAAGAAGGAAAAATCATTTCATTGTGAACAGATGAATGGTGGTGTGGATGAGTGAGTAGAGAGAGTACCAAGCCGCCGGTAACAAACTTGAGGAGGAAGCAAGCGACGGTGGAGCCAAGAAGCTGAGCGATCCAGTAGAAGATTCCGGTGAGGACGGTGATTTGGCCGCCGAGAGCCAGACCGAACGTCACGGCCGGGTTGACGTGGCCGCCTGAGATGTTGGCTCCCACAGCCACCGCCACGAAGAGGCCGAAGCCATGGCACACGGCGATGGCCACTAGACCAGGTGCATCGAGGGGAGCATCCGACGTGAGCTTGCCTACACACACACACACACACCCATATTATATATATATACACACAATGTGCTATAACTAGATTGAATATAGATACTTATGCTAATTTCGGATATGGTTTATATCGAGAGAGAGAGAGAGAGAGAGAGAGAGGGACCAAAGGCAATGGCGGAGCCAACGCCGGCGAAAACGAAGAGGAGAGTGGAGATGAACTCAGCGAGGTAAGCTTTAATGGAGTTTAAGCTAAAGGAGTCATCAAATGAACCAAAAGCAATGCCCGCCATTGTTGAACCTCAGCAAAACCTTTTTCTTAATAAATATGTATGGAAGAAGAAGAAGGGATTAGACGGCTTGGGTCGATCACACAATAGACCCTTTTGCATGCCCTATTTATACATAGTAATATGAACATAGCTCATGCATAAATTACCAAAAAAATATATATATTTAATTTGATTTTTTCCCCTTTTTTGCGGGTGGTCATGAATAATTTAAACGTGAAAGCTGTAAACCGGATTGGCTTGCATGAAAAGGTCGGTTTGGTGGGACAAAATTATATGGGGACCCAATAATTTCAATTTCAAACCGCCCTCCCTAAAGAAAAATGATAAGATGTGAATATTTGGACCGAGCAAAAAAACAGTAATCGAAAGAGACCAAAACGGAAATGGGGGACAAGCTGAGCTGTCGCTAACGTGTTGTGTATGTATGGATTTGGTAAATCCAACGCAATGATGCTCCATGTGATATCAGAGCTGTAATTCATGCCATGGTCATGTCATGGGCCATTCCTGCATGCCCTTTACGTATATATATATGCATGTATGTACATTCCAATGGACATGTTACATATATGAACATTCTCGAACATGTACATTTATATTTATACCATCTTGATAGTTATTCCTGGACTGTCTATCTTAAACAGGTAGACCCAAATATCGCTTCTATACATCATCCAACCATTTTTTTTTTCTTAATTATTTTACATTTGCTGTTGTTTTCAGTTAAATAAATTAATTTATTTTAATTGAAAGGGGCGTCTGAAATATGGATTGAATTTTTTTTATAGGTTGGACGAATGACGGACACTAAAGTCAAAGTCATGTGACTCTACGCAACAGCTGACAAACCACGCAAAACAGATTGATCTTTTGAATTTTGAATTTGTTATTTTCGGACTCAAATTTTTTGGGTTTTGAAAAAATCCGTATTAATTTTTTTTTTTGCTTAAAAATCCGTATTAATTTGTTTCTATATAAGATTTGACATTCATTAAGAATATTTATTTCTTACACAAATTCGTTTTCGTGAATCGTGATGGTTTAAGTTAATTTAATTGTAAGAAAAGACATATCCACTGGAATTTTTTATATAGATAATATTGTATTATTAAATACTTTTCATTTTTACTAATTCGAACGTTAAATAAGCACTCTTAAAAAGCACTTTTTTAGTAAATAGGCAAAAAGAGGTTTAAATGGGAACCAACTTCTCGGAATTAAATAAAATCATTTAATTGCCTTAATCACTCTATTATATGAATGGCTGAAATTAATCGGAGAAATAAGTATTGGATTAGTGGTTGAAACTTAAACTTGATTAATATAATAAGAAAACTTGATTAATATAACTTATCAATACTAGTGTATAATATTAGAAGAAGATTGGCTCTGGGATTAGTTGCCGCCTAAGAGGAATCTTTTGAATTTAATAGCCTCGATTTCGTTGTCTTGCCATTAACAAAGAATCTTTCCCAATTTGATTTGTTGACCTCATTATTAATTTAATAACATCTAAATAATTTTTTTTACAAGGAAATAGCCTTTCAAATTAGAGAGAAAAATTCCATGTAATTAATTTCAAGTTGACTTAATTAGAGAAAAAAATTCCACATAATCCAAATCATGCAAGTGTTATCCAATTTGAGCAGTTCAACTGGTGAAATGAGATCTGGTTAAAATCTAAAATCTTAAATTTTATTAACTCAAAACAATCATAAAATATTTGATGTCATTTGTTGAGTGTTTTTTTTAAACATTCATGTTAAACTCCATAGTTTTTTTAAAATTCTTTTAAAATTTATACTTTTTTATTAAGAGTCGGGAAAAAATCGTATAAATATATATTGAAATTTTAAAATTTGTAATTTTGAAATTCATGTATTTATAAATTATTCATTGATTTCTTAAAACACACACACACAGAAAAAATCTAAAATAAATTAGACCGAACAAAATATTCCGACAAAAGAAACAATCCAAACACATACATTGCTCTTCCAAGACAGATCACAGAACCAAACACCAGAAAACGATGTCATGTCCGGTCTCTGCATAATCAGCAATTTCAGCCACTGAATATTAACCTTTCAGGCTTCTGCTTCTGCTTTTGAAGGAAATGGTAATGAAGCACAGCAATGGTAATACCCATTTTCACCGAACACAAAACGCTGCGAAAGATGAGCTTCGGGAATAAGATACTCTCCCCATTCCTCGTTCCCGAACCTCTTGTGGATCTCTCGTGCATCGAAAGTATCCATCTTTCTCCTTCTATCCTTGCTGAGACAAGTTCCGAGATGATCGGGATTTTTTTTTTTTGCTATCAGAATCGGATCTAAAGCTAAAACCCGGTATTTGAATTTGAACGGGAATTCAGATTAATCCGTACCTTTTCCTGTGCCTTGCATTCATCACAGTGGCATGAAGCTGCAAGGAAACAAACATGAGATGAAAGCCATAAGCAAAGAGGATAAATGTGTGTATACACACACATACGTATATTATTATTTACCTTCAAGCTTTGCTTTGCATCTTTCTCAAGAACAAGTCCAGCCTTCACATATGCATCAATGATAACTTCTGAATTCGAGTTAAGAAACAGAAAGCATGTAAAATCGAAACCATTTGCGTATTAAGGAGCCACTCTCCATCAAGAATCGGATTATATCTCGGTTTTCCCGCTTGAATCCGAGTGCTGCAAACCGATGCCACATATGAAACGAACTCGTATAAATAAGGATACGACAAGCACGTAAGAGCCGGCCCTCGTTGCCAAGCTCTTCCACGGGAGCATAGAGGACGCGGGCTTTGGCTAAAGATCCTTTCATGCAATCCTTCACAACAAGAAACGATGCAAAGTATGATGCCAATGAGTAAATACCAAACAGAACAGCAGAAGCGTGCATAGACAAAATCTGGCATACGTAACGAGTTGAAATTACGTTAAAAGTCACTTTCTAAAATACAAATTATTCAACTCTACGGATCGGGAAAGAGACAGAAGATATACAAATTCACATTTCCCATTTGCCGAAGGTACCAAAATAGCGCTTTTATATGTGGACGGACAAAATTTCAAAAGACAGCAGCATTTTCTTCCTATGTCCCGAAACGGCTTATCACCCGTATACAAAATCGACCCCCTAACCTTTCTCGCCATCTCCAGATTTATACAAGAGCATATGAAATGGAAGGTAGAATCAAGAATGTGTCATCTTACCAATCCTTTGAGTCTTACGGATAAAGGGCGGTTATCCAAAGCATCCATCACACTTGGGTAGATACTCTGATTTTCAGGGGAAAAAAACATCTTGTCATTCGAGTAATCCAAAGAAGAAACAATATATATATATATATATATATATATATATATATATTCAGAGGAAATTACCTGCAGGAGATCGTGGGCTGCATTCAGTCGATCCTTGTTCCACAGCTTTAACATAAGCACGGTCAAGTGGAAGGTTTTCGGTTTAATAAAAATGGATTTTTCGATTCCCAAGTCTGTCCAATGTGGAAAAATGTAATGGCATGTTAGGGGATATACTCAAATAGCAGCGGTTGCTTATTCTAAATCAATGCATCTATTTCCTTTCTCACCGTATAAAGTATATGATTCCGTTCCTTCAGCCTTAGGTAGATAACTAACAAGAGGTACTCTCTTTACATCCACATTGGCTTGGTATGTTTCACTATCAGCTTTCATCTCAACCGTAGAACCCGATTCTTTATTCACCGGCTGGCCCTTTTCGTTTTCAGATGAGTTCTCATCTTGGCCATAGACTTCCGTATCATTGTTCCCCAATATAGAGTTCTGAAAATTCACGAGCTTCTCCACCAACTCGGGGTGTATGGCCAATGGCAGTGATATGAAGTGTGAGTAGTCGAGACTCGGACTCATCACAGCCTACCATTTCCATTTCAAGGAGCAAAGTAAGAACAGAAAAGGGAAAGGTAAATGAACAAAGTTACCGGCATATGCAATGCAAAACAATGAACGGAGAAGAGGTTGATAGAGCATAGGATGTAATGATCATTCAAATACTATAAAACATTGACTGACTACTCATGGAATGGAAACAGGAATGGAACCAATAAAAAAGAGGGAGAATGTCACACAAGAATTAAGACTAAAGCCACGCTTTCAACGCGTTCTTGAATAGTAGGGGTAATGCACCTCATTGATAATGGTCTCTATTCTTTCTGAAGCTCTAGTCACACACTCAACTGAAATACCTTCAATAGCTGCAAAACCATAAAAAGAATATATACCGAATGAATCAGACGAACCCGAATGAGTGGAAATTCCAGCAGCTAAGCTAAGCGCTCAACCATAAAGCATGGACAACAGATGGTAGAATCCAAAATCTTACAGATGCAATCTTCCTTCCTCGATGATGGAAGAATGATTTTCACACCCGTTTCTTCTTCAATTGTCTTTTGAGTGGACCCTCTTTCACAAAAACGAAAAAGCTATAAGCATGGTGATGCATTCCTGAAACCTCAAATTCCAAGATTCAAATGCTAAAGCTCTTACTCTTTCCCACGAATGAACCTAATTACAGAAGCACCGACCTGCAACAATGAAAAAATAAGTGCACAGATCAAGGGAGAGAAGGTAGTCTATAAACAATAAGCACTAGCTTACATACATGGTTATGAGGGCAAGAAACAGGGGGGGGGGGAATTACCTCTAGGGAAACTGAATGCTTTTCAGCCGTGACAACTGAGATTTCTTCATTCACGCGCAAGGTACGAGAACCGATATCACTACCAGAACCTTCATTCACTCCTTCAACAAACTGTGTGACCTCCTCAGAAACAGTAACGTCACTCGATGCGCTACACAGAGCTTCTTGGCCTTCATTCACAGCTTCTGACCCAAAGGGTTACACTCATAAGAGTACATCATGAAAATCACATCGTATAAATCAGGTAATAGGAACAAAGTTAACTTCTGACCAGTGCACGCTAATAAGCTGTTATACAAAAAGGCTGAACTACTGTATACACCAACGAAAAAAGACATTTACCTGCAACTGAAGTTGACTGAGTGGAGATTCGTCTCCATTCAAGATTCACCATCTTCTGCTTCTTGCATCCTCCCATTGAACTCGGGTCAGCTTTTGCACCACTGCTCATGATACTGAACGATCCCTGCGGCACGAGTCAGTGCAGGACCAAATTCATATTCAAAGCCAAAACCCTTTTCCTGATTAGATTAACAGTAAGTAATCATTTCAAAGTGGCAAATGCCCCAAAAAAAAAAACTTAATTGGGTGATTCACATGGATCTACCATGCTCGAAATCAGTGATCACGAGTGGTCCAAAACATGATAATCATCGGAAAGTTTCCAGCTTTACTAACAAATAGATGATTCGGACAGAGGCTCTTGAACGAATACAAAATCTTACATCAAGGGTTACTTACCGGAGTGGATTTTACGCATCTACTCGTGAAACCAAGGACACGATCAATTCTGAAAAAAAAAATCTCGAAAACAGCAAGAACTTCACGAGGTCAGTTGCAGAGAATCATCAACCATTTTCCACGAAAATTTTAGCCGAATTGCGGGGAAGGAAAATAAAAACTCCGAATACTGGGCACGGACACCAGAAGCATATGATTATGAGCTTGAGGTTGCGGCCATACAAAATTGGAGGAAAAAGGATCAAATTTTCCCGATATTTCTCACGTTTTCTCGGCAACCAAACAAAGGGCATTAAAGAGAACAAGAACGAACCTAAAGAGAGACCTGGACGTTAACATTTGTCTCCCCTCCTCTTCTCCTTCGCCGGTGACGGCCGTGCAATCTCTCCTTCTTCCTACTTCGTTTTTCACATTTCACCAATAACCCCGTTATTTATCAAAAATTCTGTTTTCATCCTATGCTTTAAGGATTGCATTTATAACCCCCGATAACAAAACCATTTGTCTAGTCATATTTATCAAAGATTAAAAGGATGTAATAATACTAAACATATTATTAATTAATAAACCATCTATTATTTTATGACGGAATAATATGATTTTTTAAACTAATTTACTATTAGAATGGCATTGATATCATTAGAATAATATTACATGTTTTTAAGTTAAATGTATTGTTAAGTGAAGTTTTAGTTGAAGTATGATTAATTTCAAATTAATCTTGGATTAAGCCGTCGTTGTTGTATCATGATTAATTTCAAATGGATATTTTCTTCATTTTTACCGATTTTGCTTTTCTTTACATCTGTCCATTTTTTGATTTAAATATGAAAATCAGTTTTTTTTTTTAAATTTTCATTTATTTAAAAGAAAAAGCTTTATTCGGGAAATATATAAATAAATAAATAAACACAGAAAATCAGTGCTTCGATTTTTAAATCCGAGGAGACGTGAGGAAAACAAGAATCAGATAATCCCAGAGCAAAGATTAATTAATTAACTTAATAATAAATTAAGGGAAAATAAAAATCTGAAAGGAGGAAGATGAACAACGGTCAGTCACTCCGGCACTCGCAGTCCCCTAAGACCCCGACCTCGATGCTCGATCGCGCCCTCTCCTCCCGTCGGTTCACTCCGCCGCATTCCGATGCCGATGTCGCCGTATCCGGTGAATCTTCCGCCGACGCTGACGTCTCCGCCGACGAGTCCAAGTCCAAGCGCCCCCACATCTACCTCCTCGCCTCCAATTTCCTCTCCCGGATCGGCCATCAATGGTGGCCTTGCCTCGTCCTCTGCCTCCTCCTCCTCATTCTTCTCTGCCTTACCTCCTTGGCTTTCCATTCTCACAGCTTCGTCTGCGTCTCCCGCTTCGATCCCGTCGCTCGCGTCGGGTTCTTCGGTCTTGATGGGCTCGAATCGGACTTCGGAGCCCTAGGTGTTCCTTGGTGTAAGCATCTCAGATCTCTTTCGATTAAGCTTTTGATCTGTTTGTCTTTGGCGTTGGGTTGTGCGGCGTTGTATTGTTGAATGCAGTTTCATGGGACTTAGGGATTCCGTTTGGATATGAGTTATTCGGAAACGCTTGTGATTTTGACGAGATTTGATCTGGAAATTTTCCGAATCGTATAGATTTTTGGGTTAATGGGCGTTTGATCTTTATCTTGTTGAAATGGCCGCAAGTTTTAGGATAGTATGTCGTCAGTATGCCCTTTGGAATCCCTGATATGTTGATCTGCGCTCTGTGTTGGATAACACATCTACATTTTGCGAGAAATGGGTATTATATATGTGTAGTATTCTCTCGCAATGTGCTCTTTAAGTAGCTGGCTATTTTTCGTCGATCTTTGAATGGTAGTGGTTGTCATGTCGAGGTTTACAGTTGCAGAATCAATCAACTTTTGTTTGTCACTGTTGATTTCATGAGATTAGGCGGGAAGAAAACAGTGTTGATTTCATGAGATTAGGCAGGATATGCTTTGCCTCCTCAGAGATTCATATATCCTAGAGGGCAATGTTTCTGTTTTTCTTATATCTTCATGTTCTAGTTCAAAGGAATTTTCTGGATTTGTTTTTGTCTTAAGAAGGTTCACCTGAATGTGATGTTTTATGAACCTATTTAATTATGTTCCTTGGCAAAAGGCAGATCGAAACATGGAAAAGAAGTTGAGTGGAAATCCAAGGATTTACTAAAGAGTCTAGAAGAGTTTGTGCCGATATATGAAACGCGACCAATACAGAACAATATGTATGGGATGGGTTTCGACCACAGCTTCGGGCTTTGGTTCATGGCCCGATGGCTCAAGCCAGATTTGATGATTGAGAGCGGTGCTTTCAAGGGACATTCAACATGGGTTCTGCGCCAGGCGATGCCAGATACACCTATTATCTCACTCTCCCCCAGACATCCTGAAAAGTACTTACGAAAGGGGCCTGCTTATGTTGATGGAAACTGCACATATTTTGCGGGGAAAGATTTTGTTGATTTTGGAAATGTTGACTGGAAGAACGTGTTGAAAAAACACGGAATTACAGACGTCAGTCGGGTTCTTGTGTTTTTCGACGATCATCAGAATGAACTGAAAAGGTAATCTCAGTTTGTTGTTGCCCTATATTGTATGATCCAAAAAATGACATTAAAAGTTTCTTTGAGCAGGTTAAAGCAAGCGCTGAAGGCGGGTTTCAGACATCTTATTTTCGAGGACAATTACGATACAGGAACTGGGGATCACTATTCACTGCGACAGATATGTGATCAGTCATATATAAGAGGTGGGTTTGATATCTAGAGAGAGGTCAAATCTTGATACACAGTCCTTGAACTGTTCCCCTTATGGCAAAAAAAAATTCATTTTCTCCAGGAGGTGGTCACAGTTGCTTTAAAGACAGCGACGAAGCAAGGATCCGAGCAAAGAGGAAGAAATTCTGGGAAAAGGCGGTGGATATAACCGAGCTATGCGGAAAAGGGGAAGCATGGTGGGGAGTTAGAGGAGAAATGAGGGATAATTTCAACCATAGCAACACTCCGATCTCGTACGGACAACACTTCCAGAACAGCAGGTATGTTGAATCGATTCTTGACGTGTACTGGGAATTACCACCCGTTGCAGGACCGTCCTTGACACATCAATCTCGGTATGACCCGGCTCGGGTGACTCCCCCGATCGTGGAAGACGGTAGGTACCGTTTGTTCCAACGGCTCGGGCTAGGTAGGCTTGATAAGTCGGTGTTCAATGGGTATACCCAAATGGTTTACGTTCAAATTTCAAAGGCCTGGTCTTAGAGAACCGCAGAGTCGAGGACTGAGTGAGTCATGTTTGGTTTTAGATTTTTGTCTCCTGAAGACCGAGCTTAAGAAGTTTGTTAATACCACTTTGCGGTTTCTTTCCGAGCTCTTTGGAACTAAGAAAATATCTGTTCGCACAGGAAGTTCTGTCATTGTGTTTTGTTTATATACATGTTAGTTGTTTGGTTATATGACTTTTTGAATAGTTTGACACGATTTTCCCGATTGAATCTTTGTCCTTTTTCCCGTATTCTTTCCCCGCCCTTTGAAATTTCGATATGAAGCGTTTTCGATTTTTTGCACATAAGAAAAATATGTTTTTTTACTATTTCTCTATATATAATATTCTTGGATATATCATTCATAATTTTTTGTTTATTTGGCATTTTGTGCGCACATAAACTTCTTGTTCACCACTGAAGTTTTATCTTCTCTATATTCAAATTCTTCTTAAGATTTTTATTTATATTTTTCTAATAAAATAATTAGGATTTATTTTTTTATGAATATGATATTTAACGGATTAAATAGTGCTATCATATCAAAGGAATATTATAAAATCACTTTGTTAGAATTTAAAATAGATAAATTATTTTTAAAAAATTATAAAATTTTGATTTGAGAATTTTAATCTTTATGTTTTTTATCGGAATTTTTGTATAACTTGGTGATAAAAAAAACAATAACACAACGTCAACCGTTAGTTCATAAGAGTAACTATATCCGTTAATGTTAAAACCAAACCCATACCATACATGCACATGCAAGTGGGCCATCTTACGTACGGATTGCACATGCAAGTGGCCATCTTACGTACGGATTGCACATTATCTTCAGAAGAAAAAAAATTCCTTTAAAAAGGAGAAGATATTTCGCCTCAGAAGCCGAATCTTCACTCAGGGATCGAAATATGGCAGACAAATGGAAGAACACGGCGATGCTCGTCGTCGACATGCAGGTCTGTATATGAATGTGTGTGTATATCCATATATATACATATAAGTTATATGGAAAACATATACACAAGTATAGAAAATATATGATTTTGCTTTGTGGGCAGAGGGAATTCGTAGAAGACGGTTCTCCCATACAACTGAAAAGTGGGAAAGCCATTGTTCCTAATGTTGTGAGAGCCGTTGAGATCGCAAGGCAGCGTGGCATTCTCGTAATTTGGGTATACCATTACGACCTCTCTTCTTCTCTTCCGCTGTTTCCATGGTGTCATCTTCTTAAAGTTGGTTCCTTTTCTCTGAGAAACCCTTTGGTCAAAGATTGATCCTTTTTCCCCTGTCTCTTCCTGTTTTCATGGAAAACGGAATCGATTGTATCATAAACGAACAGGGTCGATTCAAGGTTTAGATTAGGGTTCTTATAGATTGTCTTTCTAGTATTTAACCAGGTCTCTTGCTGGAATTGGAGAATATATATATATATATATATGAATGGGATTTTCATTTCATCATTATATGCGTATAATGAACCAAATGACTTGTTTCGGTTTGAGGTTGTCCGAGAGCACGACCCTCAAGGAAGAGACGTCGAACTATTCAGACGACACGCTTATGCTTCTGGGAAAGGGCCGTGCATCAAGGGAAGCTCGGGTGCAGAGCTCGTGGACGGATTGATGATCAAAGAAGGAGAGAATACAAGATCGTGAAAACCCGTTTTAGCTCGTTCTTCGATACCAATCTTCACTCGTTCCTTCAATCTTGCGCGGTTAACAAGATAGTCATTACCGGTAAGTACGGATCCTTATCCTGTTACATCTCTTTTGGCTAAAGCTTATGATGTGAGTGGCTTCGGACAGTGTAGTTTTCAGACCATATATATATTTGGTACGTTTTTTCAGGTATTCAAACTCCAAACTGCATCAGACAGACGGCTTTCGATGCGGTGACATTGGATTACCCGTCTGTGACTGTCATCGTTGATGCCACGGCTTCTGCTACGCCCGAGATTCAGGCTGGTAAACCGTCTTTTTTGTGCCCCTCAAAACATGTTATTCTATAGCCATATTGTCACATAGAAAATCTGTCTTTCTTTCTTGGAATCTATATATCGGAATAGAGAGTAACTTTGTGTGAACTTGTTTGGATCAGACAACATTCGGGACATGAAGAACATCGGCATTTCGGCTCCTACGTTACAGGAATGGTCCGAAGATGCGTAGCTTAGATTGAATATAAGATCCTTCTAGAAGGTTAAGATTGAAAGCCTGCTTCTGTGTTCTTGGTGTTATGTATAAAACGACTTCTAAGATTAAGATTGAATATTCGAACCTTCTCGGTTGTTGTGTGTGATCATTTTCAATTATATAAGTTTATTATTATTATTATTATTATTATTATTATTATTATCGGCATGAAATTAAGTAATATTTCTATTTTGAAGATGCACAAAGTAAAGACAATTCGTATGATAGAATGATGTACATGTTATTTTTGCAGTATGATCGGTTTTCCTAAACCGGTTCAGTTAACCAAATAATCACAGCAACTTTAGCCCTTGACGCTTTAACCGAACCGGAACCGGGACGTAGTCCGTTTGTTTTGGGCCTAAATGGGCTCAATTTTCCGAAGTGAAAGCCCATCTCTTCAAAATATTAACAGTCGCATATATGGAAAAAAAAAGATAAAAAAAAGGCAATTTAGCCTCCATATTCCCCCCAAAGGTTCTCCTCACTGGGGAAATAGATAGAAATGGCAGACAGGTGGAAGAACACTGCTCTGCTCGTCATCGACATGCAGGTACATATGAACTTATACATATATATATATATATACAGGTATTGATTTTGTTTTTGGATTACGATTTTTTTTCGCTGTGGGTCTGCCTGTGATTAGAAAGATTTCATACGAGAGGGTTCTGTGATGCAAGTGAAAGGCGGGAAAGCCATTGTTCCTAATGTTATTAGAACCGTTGAGCTCGCAAGGCGGCGTGGCGTTCTCGTAATTTGGGTATCTCTCTCTTCCTCTCTTCTTTTCTTATCTTTATCGTTTTCATGGTGTCATCATCTTCTTAAAGTTGGCTCCTTTTCCCAATAAAGTGATTGTCTCTACGTCAAAGGTTCGTCCTTTTCCCGCGATCCTTATCGTTTTCCCAGAAAATGGAATCGATTTTCTCAGGATGGAAAAGGGTTTAACGGGTTATAACAGGCTGCTTAGGTTTTGAAATTCAATTTTTATCAATTAGGTTAATTGGAACTTGAATTTGAAGAGATTTTCAGTACAGAAGACAATTCTAGCGTCATAGCTGTTGCTATTGGAATGGGCTTTATATAGACGAAGATTTCCTTCTGAGTACTGATTGTTTGTGTTGTCGGATCAGAAGCAAATGTATGTGCATCGAATCTGCCCCCTTAAGGATTTTGAAAGAACTGAATGTTCTAACCCCTTTGAACATATTAAGCTGCTTAGATTGTGATGAATTAGACGAGTCCGAGATCGAGCCTTGCTCTCTTTTTTTTTTTCTTTTTTTGCTTCAAGGTTGTTCGAGAACACGACCCTCGAGGCAGAGACGTTGAACTATTCCGGCGACACTTATACACTCCTGGGAAAGTCGGGCCAACCGTTAAGGATACTTCGGGTGCGGAGCTTGAGGACGGTTTGATCATCAAAGAAGGTGACTACAAGATAGTGAAAACTCGTTTCAGCGCATTCTTCGCTACCCATCTCCATTCATTCCTTCAAACTTCCGGGGTTAACAAGTTGGTGATCGCTGGTGAGTTCGATCCTCGAGATCACTACTTCTGTCTCTTTGGTGAATCTTGTGTGGAGTTTTAGGACATTTTCTAGTTTGTAAGATCATATATATGTCTTGGTTTTTCAGGAGTTCAAACACCGAACTGCATACGGGCAACGGCTTTTGACGCGGTGGCAATGGATTACCCGTCTGTGACTGTGATTGTCGACACCACTGCTGCTTCAACACCTGAGATTCATGCCGGTAACCATCTATTTATGTTGCATCAGCTATGTTTAGATCTATCTATGAGATTATTGCTGGTCAAGATGTCAGAACAAGATCTTCTACAACATAAGGGGAAAGGCTTACGATGAATAATCTCGATCGTAACTTTGGTTATATGTCAAAGCTTTGATCCTCGACGGTATTAATCCCCGAAAGAATAACTTTGTTTACGTTTTTTTTTTTACCTCTATGGAATCAGCCAATATTCTGGACATGAAGAATGTCGGCATCGCAACTCCTACACTACAAGAATGGTCCGAAGATGATGATTTCTGATGGCAAGAAATCAGGTGAAACCCTTCCCTTCTTATGTCCTAAAGCATTTTGTGTATGCATTGTGATCTTTTGTTTGCCATTATTAAAAACCCTAATGTAAGATTACAAGGAATGAATGATAAATTCGTAAATATGAATAATTTGAGTGGTGTTTTTGCAATTTTCCGATATTATTGGGTTATCTGTACGGAACATTACTGACTTGAAACCGAACCAACCAAAATTTGGTAACTCAACTGGTAAGGGATGGAACCAAGTTTCTTCCCGATTCAAATACATTCATCTGGGTTTTTTTGATCATGTAGGAGATGGTGTTGGGCCAAAAATTCGATGAACTTTCGGATTATCAAAAAGAAAATTCGAAACCGAACCCGATGTCGGGATAATATATATTGCCAAACACAGATGTCAAAAATGAAATATTTTTGTCCGACTCTTAACAGAAACGAAATATGCGTCAATTTCGGTTATGCAACCCGTGGATTAGGTGAAATATCTAAATGAATTAGCTTAATTTAATATTTTATATTATGATCCAACGATATCGACGACATATTCACGTGATGATTGGAGTGTAAATGCCTTTTCCACATGCTAAAAGTATATTATTAGTTTGTGACGAACGGTCGTAGGGTACGGAGTAAATATCAGTTTTTCGCATCCCAATGCTTAGACCACGTTAATCTAAAATAAAATACAAAATATTTCTAATTAAATATTTTATACTTCCTATTCATGGCTGTTTATATTCTTATACGAACTTGATCTTCAAATCTACGAAAATGATATAATCCAAAATAAATGTGAAATAAATATCAAGTAATATGAATAGAGATCATATGTAGTCATGTACATACTATGTGTATAACATAAAAAAAAATATTTAGTTTTTTCATATGTAATATCCGGTATTTGATTGGATTCCTTTTTTTTTTAATGATAAATATGACTTTTCTTTATTTGTTTTGGAAATTTTCTGATCAATTTCACAATTTTGTAGCAATTTGAAAAAAAAAAATCTCCAAGATTAACGAAACAAACAAATTAACTCATATAATTCATTATATACACAACAAAATTATCGGTGGTCGGTCTAATAGAAAAGAAAGGACATTTGATTAGAAATATTATATTTCTTACCTTTTTCTATTTAATAAAATGAGAAGAAAGGTGTAGGGCAATGGCCTAAGGTGAAGCTCACCCCCATCTCCTTGTCCTATTGTCCTCTCTCACTCTTTCTTCCTTTGAAAAAAAACCCAACAATGATAGAAATTCAACTGATTTGACTAATCTTTCACATTTTTTATATTATTTTTCATTTTTTTATTAACAAACCCTAGAAAATCCCAATGTTAAACCAACAAATTCAAGCATATTTAGGGTACTAAGTGTTTGAATCATGTTTTTTTAATCACATTAAGAGCGCTTCTATTAGATATTATTGGAGCAATATGTGTGTTTTGTCCCACAATAATCTTTGAGTGAGCTTATAGGCATTTTGATGGATCCCCCGTGCTTTAATTATCACTTGTTTTACACTAATTGCTTCAATTAAGAGCTATATATACGAGATTATGGCAAGTCATGAACCCTAAAAAATGTTGATCCGCCTTTTTTTTTAATTGATGAAAATAATGAAGTCGCTGAATCGTTTGGCGGGTTCCGGTTTAGGGTCCGGTACGGGCTGAATCAAGATAGAGATCGCTTTGGAGTTTAAACCGGAGGACGAAACGTTGAAATTAAAAAGCAACATGTGTATAAATACTAACATATATATATATATATATATGTATATATGATAACAATGATGCAAAATCTCTCCCTCTAGAAGCTAGAAAGCAAATAAAATTTCCATAACAATAAACAAAGAAAAGATGTGAAGGGACATGTTAGGAAAAAGGAAAATCTAGCGAGGATAGTGGAGATGATCATAATCCAGTTCATTTCAATGGGATTACAAGAGACATGGACATTCTTTTGTGAAACCCTTTAAATTGTGGACTTTACAAGACAATATATATATATATATATATATATATATTAAGCAGAATATAGAGCATAGAAATATATTAAGTTGTTGAGGAATATGTATATATATATAATTATTTATTTATAATATTATCACCTTTAGATATGGAAAAGAGGCGACAAAGAGTTGAAAAGTCAAAGACATTGTGCGTGTATTGGATATAGAAAATAAAGTGAAAAAGGCACATGAATTTCCCACTTTGTTCTACGACTTTTTTGTTTTGTAAACCATCCATTTCTTTTTTCAATCGAGAGAGGGAGATGGGGAAAGAAGATTAAGTTTATATAATTTTAAAAAGATAAATTAACGAATCTGCATAATTTTAAAGACAATTGCATTAATACTTACTCTTGTTTTCAATGCTAAACTCACTAAGTTTCCAAAAATGAAAAAAGAATAAAAAAATGTGGATAAGTTTTGTTTACAGATCTTGTATGTCAGTTTAAATATTATATAGTTTTTTCAAGACATGAGTGTAAACGAACATTTAATATCATATGTATATATATATATCCACAATATCTTAGTATTGACGATTTTTTTTTTCAGAATTTTATATTGGAAAAAAAAACTAGTAAAAAGTTCGAAGGAATAAAATGTTTGCAATTTATTCGAATAATTCCCCAAACTCTTACTACAATTTGAACTTCATATTATATCTCTGTTGTACATTTACCAGTTTTGAAAACCTCCGTGTTACTTCTTTGGGAATAGTAAATAATAATGATCGGTGAATTTAAAATTTAAAAGTAAAAAAGGCAATAAAATAAAATAAAATAAAATAAAACTGTACATGTGAAGCTGAAAACCCCCAATTATATAATTATATAATAAAAAATTCAGTTTTTTCACACCTTTTTTCAATTGTTTATAGAATTAATGTGGTTAGGTTAGGTTTATAGTGGAGTCACTTCACCATACATAATCAAAGTAGAATTATATATATATATATATATATATGTGTGTGGGTCCGATGCACAACAATATATATATAAATATATATTGAATTTTAAAAAAGGGTAAAATCAATGGATATTGAGAGAGGGGAGTGGGTAAAAGATTTCAGAAATTGAGAGGAAATAAGACAATAAATAAGATGTGTCTGAACTCTGACACCATAAGACCTTATACTTACTTCTTGAAGCGAAAAAGTTGGAGTGCAAGTCAAGCAATCTCTCCACAGTCTTCCCTCGAAAATTCCCCCACCAATTTATTATTACTGTTTTTTAACAAAAAAACATGTCAATATCATATATATATATATTGAATATGTTTGCCAATAATACTAATTATTGGCAAATAATAATAATAATTATTTAAGATTATTGATGTATAATGAAAATCTTTTAAAGACGCTGATTTTTTTTTTTAAAAAATTCGGTCAAAGAAATCCATTTGATCTGCTTGGTGGTTAAATAAATAAATAAATGATACTACTAATAGAAAAAGTGATTATTAATATTTCGTACTTTTTTTACTGCACTGAAAAAAATGGTAATCTTTATTAATTTAATACGGAAAAATGTAAATTTGAAAACATAGAAGAGCAATGAAATGATACAAATAATTAAATTAAGAATACAAAAAGGGAGATTGCAGAATATCCGACACCCACGTGCAAGGGGAATGAATCCAGTCACATTTATTATTTTTTAGGCTCTCACTCTCATCATCATTATCACTTTTTATTTTATTCATTGCCTTTTTTTTTTTATTAAATTATATATATATATATATATATACGTAATAGTTGGTTTGAGTATATATAATAATTATGTTTTTTTTTAAGAATTGTAAATTCTAAAATTTTTGAGCTTATAACATTTTATAATATATGAATTCTTTTGTTTGGTGATGTTGACAATGGCATATAAATGATGGGGAGAAAGCGAAGCAAAAAAAAGTATGATTGTGCATACTTTAACTAAAAGCATAATAAATTAATTAAATTAAATAAAAGTAGAGAGAGAGAGAGAGTAGAGAGAGACAGCTAAAAATAAAGGCTGTTCACCTCATGGGATGTCTTCCCACTCAATTATTTTTAAGATGCTTTGTGATGATTTTGTCCTTAATTTTTTTTTATAGATTAATTTGTACGAGAGGCTAGCTGCTCATAGTTCCATATATATATATATATATATATATATATATATATATATATATATATGTATATAGAGACAAAAGTCAACACAGGA